CTTTCCTGGTGACTCCCAAGCTGGTGAACTGTTATTTGTGCTAGTGGGAGGATCTGATTTACATGTTCATGGTTTGGTGACAATTACCCATGTGCTTATGTGAATGGTGTCTGGCTTGGGCCACCTCTGCAACTGAGGTGTCTGTTATGGTTAATAGCATATGGAACTCCAGGCAAGGGTTGAATGGTGTTTCCCACAGATGTAGATGAGTGTGCCCAGGCTCTGCATGACTGTCGCCCTAGCCAGGACTGTCACAACCTGCCTGGCTCCTACCAGTGCACCTGTCCTGATGGCTACCGAAAAATTGGGCCCGAATGTGTGGGTAAGTCCAGGAAGTGGCCTCACCAATCCCTGCTCTGTGCTTCTGGTCCAGTGTTTTATAATACCGTACCTTTATCCCAGTCCCTTGCTACCTGTGCCCACCTGTCATTAGACACAGAAGACTGAATGTGGGTGTGAGAGGGTTGTCAAGGCTAGCCTGGTCCTGGCCCTACCCAGCACCCCAGACAAAGACAGGAATGTGAGTGTTGAGCTCCATTCAGCTCAGGCCCCTCATGACTTCTGCACTTTGTTCTTCTCCTGACTCTGTCTCAGACATAGATGAATGTCGCTACCGCTACTGCCAGCACCGCTGTGTCAACCTCCCAGGCTCTTTCCGCTGCCAGTGTGAGCCAGGCTTCCAGCTAGGACCCAACAACCGCTCCTGTGTGGGTGAGGCTGTGCCAGACCAGGCTCCAGGATCCTGGATAGAGAGGTGTGAAGTGGGGGCAGGATCTCCATCCTGACTAGCTCTGAGCATTCTTGCTCTTCCTGGCACCTCCAGATGTGAACGAGTGTGACATGGGGGCCCCGTGTGAGCAGCGCTGCTTCAACTCCTACGGGACCTTTGTGTGTCGCTGCCACCAGGGCTATGAGCTGCACCGGGATGGCTTCTCCTGCAGTGGTGAGAACCCCACTTGTGCTGCTGGATCCTGCATTGGTTCCCCCAGGACTTGCAGCATCCTGGACTGACTCTAGTCACACAGTCATTTGTATGAGGCTTCCATGAGGCTTCATTCTCTGCATCTGCAGACATCCTAGGCTGGTGGCCAGGCACTCCCAGACTGGTAGGGATGGCATGTTAGGCAGTTAGGTCCTGCTGAATCTTGTTGGAGAGACAGAGAAGGATGTGGGTGCCAGGCTTCCCGGGAGTTGATTGTCCTGCTCAAGGGAAAGTCAGTCTTCTTTCTGGACATGATTCTTCTGTAAATGGCTTGTCTGGAGGATGGAGGAGGACACTGATAATAGGTTTGAAGCACCATTTGTTTAGAACCTACATGCCCAGCTCATTTAATTCTGTCAATAAGGACTTATTTCCTCCCTCTATCAACAGTGTATTAATATTTCCATAGGTGTGTTGGTTGGAAGAGCTGTAAAAAGCAGAAAGTTCTGAGAAAATGAGGACTTTCGTCCTTCCACTTACAGAGATAAAGTAACCTGTCCAAGTTCACACAGGAAGGATGAGATGGTGCCAGGGTTTGATCCCCAACTTCCCATCATGTCATCTGGCATGCCCACCATGTATACCATACGTTGCTGTGAAACAGAGCATCATTGGTGTCTAGCTGTGTGACAGGAACTGGAGCAGATAGTGTGCTGCAGGTGTAGCTCACTGTTAGCAGAAGACTGGGTATTTTGACTGGATTGCAGGAACTGGATGTTATTGAAAACTGGAGCCTCAGGACTGTGGTCTAAATCATTCATTTGGCATGGAGATTGACCTTTCCTAAAAATCAGTTAGTAGGATTCACACCCAAGCTTCTGGTACTTAAGTATTCTTAAAAGTCCTGGGGAAGAAAGGTCTCTCTGTAAACTGGAAGGTCTGGGCCCTGGCTAGCCTGGGACTCACTACGTAGTCAGACTGGCCTTGAACCTGCTACAGTCCTCCTGCCTCTGCCTCCCAAGTGCTGGGATTTCAGGCATGTGCCGCCATGCCCAGCTTCAAAACTTTCTATTCTTTTTTTTTTCTTTTCTTTTTCCTCTCTCTTCCTTTCTGTTCTGGGATGGAATCTAAGAGCCTCAAGCATGCTAGGCAAGTACTCTTCCACTGAGTTGTACCCCTAGCCCCTCCAACCTTCCTTTGAAACTTCCAGTCCCTTCCTGAACTTTCCTGGGTTTATCTTACCCCTTCTTTTTCCCCCACATCCAGTCTAAGGGGGCTGGTCTCTCTCAGTAAATGTCTGTGGGCTCACCCTAGGCCCAGGGTGCTCATCCCCACCCTCCCTCAGATATCGATGAGTGCAGCTACTCCAGTTACCTCTGCCAGTACCGCTGTGTGAACGAGCCAGGCCGCTTCTCCTGCCACTGCCCACAAGGCTACCAGCTGCTGGCCACAAGGCTCTGCCAAGGTACAGGTACTTCTGGTGGGTGGGCAGGGTTTTAGAAGTGTAGAGCTTGGTATCAGTCCTTGATTCCAAACTCCTCTTCCTTGGCCCAGACATTGATGAGTGTGAGTCAGGTGCACACCAATGTTCTGAGGCCCAAACCTGTGTCAACTTCCATGGGGGCTACCGCTGTGTGGACACCAACCGCTGCGTGGAGCCCTATGTTCAAGTATCTGACAAGTGAGTTAACCTGCTGTCAGTTCCCTGTGGTACTTACAATCCCCAGAGGTCTGTGGGGCGAACTGGCATCTGATCAATATGGTGAGTGCCCCTTAGGCCTCATGGGAGTTGTAGTCCTTCAATCTGGAATGGGTTGATCTTGGGTTTCCCTCCTTTTGGGAGGTAGATATTTGAGCCACCAGCCAGGACCTCATTCCTGTCCCCTGTTTTGGGGTCTTTAGCCGCTGCCTCTGCCCTGCCTCCAACCTCCTGTGTCGAGAGCAGCCTTCATCCATTGTGCACCGCTATATGAGCATCACCTCAGAGCGGAGCGTGCCTGCCGATGTGTTTCAGATTCAGGCGACTTCAGTCTACCCTGGTGCCTACAATGCCTTTCAGATCCGTGCTGGAAACAGTCAGGGGGACTTCTACATTAGGGTAAGGCCCAAATGGACTTGAATAATCTAAAACAGAATTCCAGAAGTTGTTTAAGTGGGAGCCTGCCCTGCCTCTTCTCTCAAGGCCCTGACCCAGGAAGCAGGGCTCACTCCTACTACAGATGTCACAGACTGTTCCAACGGGCAGTTGGCTAACCAGTCCCGATACTGGGCTCCCCTATATAGCTTTGACTTCCTTACCCACAAAACAAGAAGCGTGGTCTGTGCAGTACAGGGATTGGATCAGAGAATCCAGCTCTGGGAAGCTGAAGATGGCAGTTGTGATTCAGTGTGTGGATGGTGAGGGTCTCAAACATGGCCCTTATGCTGTCTTCAGCATTAAGAAGTGTTTGGCATTGGAACTTGTTCATTTCAGAATTGCTTTGGGGTTGGCAGCACAGTTCCAGGATAGAATATGTGCTTACTACTTACTAGGCCCTTAGTTCCATCCCCAGCACCAAAATAATGTGACAAAGTTGAGTACTTTGAAGGGGAAGTTGGCCCACTCTGGGTCACCAAAGGTCTAGCACTCTCCCAAGTTACACTGGAACTTGAATATCAGCTAGTCCTAAAGGGAAAAAAAGAGCTAGGTGGATAGGGTTGGGAGAGAGCTGATGGAGAACCAGTGGCAGAACTTGGGTACCAGAGAAGAGAAATGTCTGAGCCACAGCCTGGTCAGACTATCTTCTAACCTCATGGCCACAAGGCAAGGGGGTGATGCTGGAGTATGGGTTCACAGGCTGACACAATCTCTGTCCTGCCATCCACTGTGCCCTGCAGCAAATCAACAATGTCAGCGCCATGCTGGTCCTGGCCCGGCCAGTGACAGGACCCCGGGAATACGTGCTGGACCTGGAGATGGTCACCATGAACTCCCTCATGAGCTACCGGGCCAGCTCTGTACTGAGACTCACCGTCTTTGTGGGGGCCTACACCTTCTGAAGGAGACCCTCAGGGAAGGGCAGGGTGGGTTCCTTCCCTTCCTTTTCCCTCCCTCTCTGGTAGCTTGAGGAGCCTGGGGCTCAGGGATGACTGTTCCATTGTGAAGGCCAATAAAGGGAGAAAGAAGGAGTTGTGGTTGCTGAGGTGGGCAAGTTACCTCAGCTTGGGAAGGGGTTGGGCTTGTGAGAAGCAGGCCAGTTCCACTTATAGAGGGCTGTGCATTCAGGCTGAGAGTGCTCCTGAGCTGAGTACTATGTACTATAAGCCTTCAGAATCACCCTGAGCAAGGAGGAAGTTATGGGGGGTTTACAGTCCAGGTCCTGTCACAGAGCTAAGCTTGGCTGATTTGTTGGCCCTAGAAACCATGCTTAGGACCAATACCAGCAAAACCAGGGTTCCTAGTTCCCATCTTGCTGCCTCAAGCTAGTCATTTGGACACACCCCTACTAGCTCTTTTCCAATCACCAAATTGAGGCAAATGGACTGTGAGTGATTTTCTATTCCAAGATAGAGCCTTGTGTCAAAGAACTTTTATTTGACCAGAGACCACCTAGTTACATAGAGTCAAAGTTTCAATGCCCCAGTGACTCCATCTCCCTGACTTGGGAGCCCTAGCTCCCTAAGCAGCATGACTGATTTTTAATTTGGGGTGGGGCAGGGTCTGGTTTCAATCCCACCATAACCTAAGTGCTTATTACTATATGTGTGTACCACCATGTCCAGGAGCTTACTTAAAAAGTAACATGTGAACTGGGTGTAGTGGTATACACATTTAATGTTCAGTCCCAGCACTCAGAAAGTAGAGGCAGGCAGATCTCTGTGAGGTGGAGGCCAGCCTGGTCTATACAGTGAGTTCTAGGCTAGCTGGGGCTACAGGGAGACCCTGCCTCAAAAATAATTTAAAAAATCCTAACCCTTGGGAGACAGAGGCAGACAGATCTCTATGAGATTGAGGCCAGCCTGGTTTACATAGTGAGTTTCAGGCTACCTGGGGCTAGAGAGAGACCCTGTCCAAAACAAAAACAAAAACAAAAAAACCCAAAAAACTCAACATACAGACCAGGTGTGGTGGTACATGCCTAAAATCCTAGCACTCAGGAGGTAGACCCAGAAAGAATTAAGAGTTCCAGGCCAGACAGGGCTGTATAGCAAGTTCTAGACAAACCTGGGAGTAAGAAGAGATAGGAGACACTGGGCAAGGCTGCAGACCATTGCTGTGTGCTAGAACACTTGCTTAGCATGCATAAGGCCCCAGGTTCCACCCCCAGTACTAAAAAACAATAATCATTAGATGCAGGATCTAGGCTTCTAGCTCCTACAGATTTTCCAAGGGGCTTGGCATCTCCTCTTTAACACCTAAGACTACAAACACTTATATTTTTATTCTAGCCCCAAGGATCCCAGTTAAAAGTCTGGGTAGTGGGGAGATGGGTGCTGGGCTTGTCTCCTGGTGAGGCTCAGGTCAGAGGGCTGCGGCTGCAGTACAGCTGGGACAAGGTCCTGCTCAGAGCAGGTCCCAGATTCCTGCAAGAAGAGAGGCAAGAGAAGGTTGGCCTGGTGCCTAGGGAAACTCAGCCCTTCAGTAGGCTGTGTCCTGCTCTCACCTCTGCAGACGCCCACACTTGATAGTGCTCAGCAGCATCTCCTGCTCCTTGGGGGTGGCACAGGCATCATAGGCGGCCAGGAGGCTGGGGATGGGGTGGACAGTGGCTGACTATCTGGGTCAGCACCATGAGAACTGAGGCAAGAGGAGGCGGGTCTGGTGTGGAGGAGTCTAGACACTATATTTTCTGAGCCTGGCATTTGAGGCCCTGTTCCATCCAACAGGCCCTGACTGTTCTCCCTTGTTGGGGAACCCTGCAAGGTTTCCCAAAGCCCCTCTAGGCTCCTTGGCCTAGCTTCTTCGTCCAGGAAGCCTTCACTGATGCACCAGGTAAAACATCTTTCCCTACTGTGTTCCCCACTCTGCCTGGGATGCTGTCCAGTCTGTCTTCCCACTGACCCATGAGTTCCTAGGGTTCAATTAGAGGTCTATGCATAGCACTCACAGAGCCAGACCCATTGCCCCTACAGCATTGGTTGAATAGAACTCCACATAGGAAGGGCAGGGATTAAGGACCCCTAAGGGATCCCATGAGGGTGGGCAGGGATTAAGGACCCCTAAGGGATCCCATAAAGGTATACCTGGCAGGGGTGCTATATCGATTCACTAGGGCTGCTGCCTTCTCTCCACTCAGTCCACGCACTTGCATGAGCTGCCGGGCAAATACTTCTCGCACAGACTGGGCCTGGGGTTGGGGTAGGCCTATGTTAGGTGTGATCTGGGACCAGGTCAGGAGAAGCTTGGTAGGGGGTAGGGTTACCTTATTCTTCATGGCTCCTGCGTTGAAGTCACTGAAGGTGAGGAGTGAGCAGAGAGGGTTTGGGGAGGGCCTTGCCCCTGATTCAGGATCCCCTGGGGTTTCCCAGGGGCGGCTGCGTAGGGTGTGGCCCTGAAGGAAGAGGGGACTGAGGCCAGGCTAGGCTCTAAGGGTCAACTCCCAGCCAGTCCTTTCCCAGTGTTAGGCCTCAGTGGTCAGCCTAAGAAACTGGGCTCTTACCCACTTTTCTTCCCTTGAGGCAAAGTGCCAGGTCAGCCCAGTGCTGGACAGGTACATCTGCTCACCTGGTATAGTCTCTCCAGGCCCCGTGTCAAAAGAGCCAGGTAGCCAGCCGAATCCTTTATGCCCATGGTACGCTTCACAAAGAAGCCATCAATGACCTGAAGAAGAACACCCAAGAGAGGGAGGTGGCTTCTGGCCTGAGCCATGGACCATAGCCCCTGCCACTCCAGCCCTGCCCTCTCAGCTTACCTGGGTATTTGTAACAGCTTGAAGCAGGGTGCTCTCAGGAAGGCTGAGGTTCTGGACTGACCCATGTTCTTCCACTAGGTATACCCGGTGCCCCAGGCCACAGCGCTTCAGGCGGAACTGGGGAGGCAGACAGTGAGGGAGGATAAGTCAGGCCCAAATGCCCACAAGCCTGGGCTGGCCATCACACTAAGGTGTAAGGTGACCCTGGCCTCTCCCTATCTCAGAGGAACCCCCATACTTATGTTCTTGCTGTGACTCCTGGAGGGAAGCTCTGCACCATCTCTGGGCTTTGCATGTCCTTTAAACCTCCCTTGGCCTCTCAAGATCCTGGGCTCAGCCCCACTGCTGAGACTCAGGCATAGCCTATGCATTTCTAATCCCAGAGACCTGGCTCTTGTTTATGTGAGATCACTAAGGTTAGGTACTCAAGGGATCTTTATGTTCCTCGGCCCAGCCTAGATAGCCTGTGTGCCTGATATGCACCTGCATGGCTAAAAAGGGGGTCTGAGCCTAGACTGCCTACAATGGCTCCAAGGGGTATCGCTGGAGGCCTCCCAGGCTGTGCCTTGAGGAGGTCACCAGCAGTGCTGCCAGCTTTGTCTAGGCTGAAGAGGCGCATGAGCAGGGAGGGAGGCAGGTCAGCCAAGATACCTTCTGTTCACGAAATCGGCCGTCGATAATGCTACTGCACAGATCATCCAGCCGCTTGCGTTCTACTATGTGGTCTAGGACTAACTCCCCAGGTCTTGCTGCCAAAAGCCAAGAAGAGTCCTGTTGTCCTCCATGGACCCTGCAGGCCCAGCCTCTGATACCAGCCCATCTATACCCCTTTACCTGGGTCTCTGGGCCTGGTCTCCTGTGCCACCCACACGAAGTCCCCAACATGCAGCTTGCGCACTGTGTGGGGCACATGCAGCCTTTGTAGTTCTTGGAGCAGTTCTGGCCTGTGTCCTGCCCTGATATTTCAGGGAAAGAGGCCAAAGTCAGGGTGAGCCACCACTACCGACACCACCACTTCCATTGCTCCGCAGGCCATCTTCTGATTAGGGCTGCCTCTACCGTACCCCCTAGTTTCAGCGGTGTCCACACACAACAGCACTCTGTACTCTCCAGACCTCAGCTCCAGTGTTGGCTGTTGGACCCCCACTTCGCTGGCACCACTACAAGGGAACAGGGGCTCTGTGTCAGGCCAGAACTTCAGGGCCAGGGTATCCCCCCACCACCCACAAGTAGGGGAAGCTCAGCTGAGCTGTAGCTGGCTTCATTTCTGGGACCCCCTCTGGCCCCCATTTCTCCCTCCTCCTCACAGTTTGGTGGAGACTGTTGCTCGCTCCTCTCCACCAGGCTCTTCTGGCCTAATGCCAGTGTTCAGAGGACTCAGGCCTTCTGACTCCCCCAGCTTCTGTGCTAGCTCCAAGCCCTCTGGGGTCAGCATATACCTGGGAGGTGGAGGAGAGAAACAATTTTTCTTTCTTTATCCATACCTGGCAGGCTTGCCTGCTGCCCCCAGCTGGATGAGCCTCACCCTTCTTGGCACAAGTCCAATGGCTCCCTGCCTCCTCTGTCTCTCAGATCTGCTTTCTCAGGGCCTTCCTAATGCCCTTTCTCAGCTCTGCGGTATGTGCATCTCCAACTCTTCCACCTATCATCACTTAATACTATCCCCTCCTCCTTAATTCTTCTGGCATCTCTAACCAGCCAAATTTTAAGACATGCCAAATGTTTACACAGTTTCCTGTTCTTCTAACAATCCTAACCCTCTTCACTCACACTCTTCGGGGTCCCTGATAGAGCAAGCTCTTTGGAAGGCTGGCCCCAACACCACCAGCCTCAACAATACCACATCTGAGACTTGTGGGGTAACTGTTTGCCCTGTGCTCCCCCAAAATGCCCTAACTGCTGTGTTGCTCCCCCATCCCTGCCTTCCTAGTTCCCTGCAGCTGGCCCACACCTAGCTGGCTGATGTGTTCTGAGGACCAGGTTCCTATGGAGGAGGCCACGTAGGGCAGGCCAGGATCTGGAAACTCCAGGGACCACCTATAGAAAAGGGAGGAGACCCTCAGAAGAGTCGGTGGTACTACAAGTCCTGTACCCCTAGCCAAGGCTCCCTGCCATGGAAGTCAGACTCTAGTGGGCTCTACCTCCCTGCCCCAGCTGGGTACTCACCCTGGGGGCTTTTTGGCCACATCTCTGCAGCAGTTCCTCTTTGGTTAGGAAGCTGTGGCCACCAGGATTCTGAAACCATGGTAGAAACAAAGGTAGGTTAAGACCCCGATGGAGCGGCTGGGATGAACACTGCTCAGGCACTTCTGGGAGCCTCCCACCTGTGCTCCCCTGCCTCATCCTGACTACATGACTACTGTTGGTAGCACCTCACCAGGTGCTCCCAGTACAGCTGCAGCAGGACCTCACGAGCTCCTGAGTTCCGAGCTGGCCAGTAGCCACCAGAGCCTCCTGCTTGGGGCTGGGTGGGAACCTGAAAGAGACAGAGGGGCACTGAATTCAATTGCCAGTCAATCAGTGTCAGCTGAGGTTTCAGAAGGCCACTTGGGCCTGGAGAGACAGATGATGCTCTAAACCCCTTCATATCTGGAATGTGACAGTGGTCAGAACAGGGTAAGAGGTTGGTTGGGTGTTAAGTGCCAGGCCCAGCCTGTCTCACTACTGCAGAGCAGGAACACTGAGGTGCAGCAGCCCTGCAACTTTCTGACTGGGTCTCCTTAAGCAGTTTAATCCTGGAACTCTCTACAGCTGTTATCAATAGCCCCAGTACAAATTAAGACAGTAAATCTTTAGGTAAGATATTTGTCAGAGGCCAGGCATTACCAGTAAAGGTTGGACGGGGGCTCTGGGGGCTGCTAAATCTCTCAAACCATTAAGTCCTCTCAGCCCTTCGGTTCATCCTTCCACTTCGTTTGCCCCCTCCTCACCGGCTTGGAAGAGTCCTGGACTTGAGCAGGTGGCCATTCCTGGGCTTGATTCTTCTCTCCAGAGGGTGTGCTGGGGGCATGGTCACCTGTGGGGGTAGAAGAACATTAACCCTGCTCCCAATCTGGCAGCTAAGAGGAGCCCGGATGCAGTTTGCTCAATTATCTTGTTGATTTTTTGAGTCTGAGTCTCATGTAGCCCAGGCTAGCCTTGAACACTCTGCAGTGGAGGATACTCTAGAATTCTTGATTCTCCTGCCTCCAACTTAAGTGCTGGGGTTACAGGCCCGCACCCGGAGTGGGGAGTTTGACAGCCAGGGTATCCACGGTGGGCACGAAGCCTGCACCCGGGACATTTAGGGGATCACCCACTCCTTCCCCGAGGTGCTCACCGCCCGATGCTTGGTGCTGCCGCAGCCGCTCGTCCAACATTTGACAGAGCCTGTCTCCGAAGTGCTGGAGGATCTTGGCTTCCTTCCCGCTTCGCAGTGGCAGCGGGTACCGTCGGAGAGAGCGCAGCGCCTGGCGAGCGTAGGGGGAAGGCCTTCGGGTCAGGGGAGGAGCTTAGCCAGCACCTGTCACCACTCACCCAGCTGGGACTCACCTTTTGAAACACGAAGCGCGTGTGGCGCCCCCTGCTGGCCGCCTCGTCCCGCCACTCGGTCAGCCAACGAACGAAGAGCGGGTTAGGGCATACAGGTAGCGGGCGCTTCCGGCCCAGGCGGACCGGCGGGGCCATGAGACCCAGGCTGTGTCTTCTGGAGCCTCGGAGCCTGGGACCCCGACAGTTCTGGGCTTTGGACCGCTCCAACCACTTGGACCTTGGCGGGACACTAACAGAAGGATTGCCCTTCCCGCCCCTGCAGGGCTCTAGGAGGCTGGCGCGAAGCTCGGTCTATACCATCTTGGGCCTAAGGACCCGTGGTGCCCCCCCCCCCAGCACCAGCCCAATGGACGCGTCCCACCCAGGCCTCGGAGCTCTTTGACCCGCCCCTTCCTCTCTCCCCGAGATTAGAGAGTCGAGTCATTTTGGTGCTGGTGATGAGCGGACGGGACAGCGCCTCCTGCGACCCGGAGGCGTTTAGAAACTTGAATTTGGTTTGCTTCTAGGGCGCACACGGCTGTCGGTTTCAGGCTCACTATTGCAGAAGAGGGATTGGAAAAGGGCTTGAGAAAAGTGGGGAGGGGAAGACACACGTTGCAGAATATTCTCTGAAGGCGTGCGAGGAATGGACCGAAGGCTAGGCGTTCCTACCAGAATGATCCCAAAAGAAATGGTCATCCTCGGGGCTGGCGAGATGGCTCAGCGGTGAAGGGCACTAGCTGCTCCTGCAGAGGTCCTGGGTTCAATTCCCAGCACCCACATGACAGTTTATAACCATCTGTCACATCCAGACATCTGTCACACCCTCTTCTGGCCTCCTAGGGCACCAGGAGAAGCAGTGAACATAGTATATGCAGGCAAAACACTCACAGATACAAAATAAAAATAAACAACCTAAAAAATATTGAGAGAGCAAGTGGGGGGCTGGAGATATGGTTCAGTGGCTGCCCATGGTGGCTAACAATCGTCTGTAACTCCAGTTTCAGGGACTCCAAAATCCTCTTCTGACCTACATGAGCATTGCACGACACGGGTGCACTTACATACATGCAGGCAATACATTCATACACATACATACATACATATATATATATTCTTGGTCTTTTTGAGACAGGGTCTCCCAGAAACCCACCATTTCTTTTTTAAAAAAAATATTTTTATTTAGGGCCGGGCGTGGTGGCGCACGCCTTTAATCCCAGCACTCGGGAGGCAGAGGTAGGCGGATCTCTGTGAGTTCGAGGCCAGCCTGGTCTACATAGTGAGTTCCAGGACAGCTGGGGCTACCGGGAGACCCTGTCTCAAAAAGACCAAAAAAAAAAAAAAAAAAGAAATGGTGATCCTGAGTTGAGGTTCCTAGGGATGGAAGTGGGAGGAGCCCCAGAATGCGGGAGGGGCACGTATAGATCTGTGGAGCACCAGGGTCTCCGGAGACTGGAACAGTCCCCGACCTCCAGCTGTCACGCCGAAGTCTCAAAGAGCAGCTCTCCGGCTCGGGCGAAGGGCTGGCTGCTCACGCCCAATTGAGACTCCGCCTAGATCTCAGACCCTCAGTTCCTTGCACCCGCCTCCTTCCTCACGCAGCCTTATAAGGAGCCTGAAGCTGGCGCTCGGGCTGGGCACGCCCCCTGGAGCCTCATGCCCTAATAAGGACATCTAGGGCATCCCGCGGCCGGGGGCGGAAGGAGCGCGTCTCTAGGGTAACCGTCCGGCCCACCCCACTCCCTCTCCTCGTTGCTCTGGGAAACCAAGAGGCTCGAAAAAGGTGGAGCTGGCCTCCTCTACAGGCAGGGGGGCTTGGGAGAGGAGGGGTCCACCTGCCACCTGGGGAGACCGGAGCTCGGCTCGCTGAGTGCTAGCCGGAGGTCCTGGACTACAACCCCCAGCATGCACTGTGCGTTGTCCCATTCCTGGGCGTTGCTCCCCATTTACACTGCTTATTCTGCTGACGCGACCGAGGACCCCAATTTCGTTTGCCTCTGACTTCTCTTCCTGCAGAGTGTGAGGCCACAGTCATAATTCTAGGTCAATGACATCTTCCTGGGGTTCCCCCCACCCCAACTTATTTTAGGCTCATTTTCCCACAGAGATTGTCTTCAGTGTTTCTATCAGAATATCCATAAACATAGCCACTGGAGAATTGGGTTCTACCAAGTATCCCTCTCCTTACAGCCTGGTAAAAGGCATACCAAGGAGTCTATAGTCAACCTTTGTCTCGTGAATTTCGTTTGCTCCATGAATTTGACAAACGTCTTTAAACAAAACCAAAGCTCTCAAAAATTTTATTGCAGCTTTTCACGTCGTTTAAATGCTATTTTGTTGTCTTTTCTTAGAAGACAAGGGTGTCTTTCCACACGGATGATACTCGAATACGCTTTTATACTTGCGATTCTCATTTTTAAAATCTTTTTTTAAATTTTCAATTTATGTGCGTTTTGCCTGCATGTGTGTAAGTGCACCCATGTCGTGCAATGCCCGCGGAGGTCAGAAGAGGGCGTCGGATTCCCCTTGAACTGGAGTTACAGACGGCTGTTAGCTGTCATGTGGGTACTGGGAATCGAACCCGGGTCCTGTGCAAGAGCAGCTTTTAAACGCTGAGCCATCTCTCCAGCCCGCGATTCTTCTTTCTCTGGGAGCGCATTCCAAGACAATGAATAGCTGCTTCGATTTAGAAAAGCAAAGTCTTAATCCTTAGAAATTCAGACCAGAGAACCAAAAAGTACCAGGCGGGCTTTAGGAAAACCGTTTCACGGCTCTGGGGAAAGGATGGTTTTCGGGTCATTTTATCCAGCTGCTGGGCACAGTGCTAGGCTCAGACCGTTTCCTGGTAAACTGTACCAATAGGCTTGCTCTCTGTGCTGTAGCCCCGCCCCCTCCCCCTACACCAATGCGGAGCCCCTAGGCTAGCCACCAGCCACTCCAGCTCGCTCCGCTAAGGTGCAGAATGCTCGGACTCCATTTCCCGCCGGCCCACGCGGCGGGCGCCGGAAGTTCGCCCCGCCCCTCATTGTGCGGCTTCTACTAAACGGAAGGGGCCGGGAGAGGCCGTGTTCAGTCGGATCCCGGCAGGAGCTGCGGCGGCTCGCTTTTCCAACTGCTCTCCCGGTCTCCCTTTTGCTTCCGGAAACATGGTAAGCGGCGAACCGCGGCGCCTGAGGGACGCAGCTTCACGATCCGTTGTCTACGGCTCGGGCGGAGTCGAGGGGAGGGGGCGCCTGGGACGCGAGATCGCCGTCCCCTCCCCCAGGGCGCCGAGCGAGATGCAGGGTCTAGCCTGGACGCGCGGATCGCGCGTGCGCGCCCGTGGGCGCCGAGCCGGCTGGGCCCTAAGGGCTCGGACGTCGCTCGCGCGCCCCCTGGGCTCCGCTCCCCTCCCCCATCCCGCCGCTGCGCCCGCGCGGACACTGGCCGTGGGGGAGGGGGCGAGCGTTCGCCCAGCGCGGCGCTGAGTCTCGAGAACGCGCTCCAGCCTGGACCACGCGGCCTCTGGACCCTGCCCGGGGGGCGGCGAGGGAAAAGCGCGCGAGTCAGCGAGCCAGCCAGCCTTCGCGGTCTGCGCGCGCCCCACCCTAGGGCTGTTCCTTCCTCCGTTTCACCCTCCCTTGACGGAGGGGTTGGTCCCGAGAGCAGGTGGTAGAGATGCCGGCGCCCGCGAGGGGCGGGGGCGATGCTGGGGTGGCGAGGACCTGGTTGCAGCGAATAGGAGTTTGCAGGGCCCGGCGTGGGGTGGACCCCACGCGGGCTGCAGCCGTGTCTCGAGAAAGTGCGATTGCACGCGGCGATCCTAAGGCGTGCGCACACGCTCAGGCCCTGCCATCCGGGATGCAGCTCCGGGACCAGTTAGGCCTTCGGTAGTGCCGGATGGGGCCCGAGGGTGGAGCCGCGTTTAGGGAAGTGACCCAGGCGGGTACCGCCCGGAAACCACCCAGTTCTTATGTTCAGCCCAAGGGCTTAAAAAACTGATGCTTTTTGTGACCTGCCCAGGCTACCATTCAGTGCTCCCTTCCTGGTTTATGCCTGTACCCAAAAGCGATTCCTGAGCGGTCAGCCGGTGAAGGTGCCGCTGCCTCTGGGGTACGGGTGTCTCTTGGGAGGGGTTGGGCCTAACTCATCTTTCCCCTCCCACTCCGGAAGCGGGTGAATCACGTGGCCAGCTTCCTCTGTAGTTCCATGATGGGGCGGGGGTTGGTTACAAATTTCTTTGGCTGGGTCGTCTCCCAGGGCCATACAAAGTAGGCATTTTTAGTATTTCTAGGATTCCGGACACTAACGTTTGACCTGTTAGTTTCTGCCAGCGATCTCCAGGATTCTGCAGCCCTCTGGGGTGATAGGGAGTCGTCCAGCAGGGCCCTAATTAGGGATTGTAGTTCTCATGTTTGGGAAAGATCTCGGCAGGGGCAGTAGCATTTATGTAATAGCCAAATTGAAGGCTCTGATGTGCTCACTGAATTGTTGAGCGGTTCTTGGTGTCACTGTGGAGTTCTGGTTCCCTCTTTCCTGGAGGAGACCATGGTCCAGGTGCTTGATCCTCCTTTTAATCTGTCCTAAGTCAGCACTTTTATCCAGGGGCAGAGGGCTGTGGGACCCAGATCAATAGCCTGTCTCTCAAGAAGGCTTTTCTTTTCACAAATACTGCTTCTAACCTATACAAGTCAGGGAGTGGGGGTGTTGAGCTGGATGATGGGAGATCTGATAGTGGCCTGGGTGGGGAAACTCTTGTCTCTTCTAGGGGGTTGCTAGCTCCTTAGGGTGTGGTTCTGAAAGCTATGCTTTGGAGCATCTAGACTGCAGCCTTTGAGACTGGAAAGATTTCAAGAGGAGGGAGTATCCCGAATCCTTTCCCTTACAAGGTGTGTGACTTGTCGCTTAGGCTTCCGGTGTGGCTGTTTCTGATGGTGTCATCAAAGTGTTCAATGATATGAAGGTGCGCAAGTCCTCAACACCAGAGGAGGTGAAGAAGCGCAAGAAGGCCGTGCTGTTCTGCCTGAGTGAGGACAAGAAGAACATCATCCTGGAGGAAGGCAAGGAAATCCTGGTAGGTGATGTGGGGCAGACTGTGGAGGACCCCTACACCACCTTCGTCAAGATGCTGCCTGACAAGGACTGCCGCTATGCCCTCTACGACGCCACCTATGAGACCAAGGAGAGTAAGAAGGAGGACCTGGTGTTCATCTTCTGGTGAGTCCCTCCTTTCTCAGGAGAACTGGGCAGAAACAATCCCAGGTTTGGGGGGGGGTGTAACAAAACCAGTGAGGAACTTGAAAAATCCCCAGTGTTAGAGCCATCCTTAAGGGTCCCCTGTGGCAATTGCAGCAAAGTTCCCTGACTTTTTCTCCAGGGCCCCTGAGTGTGCACCCCTTAAGAGCAAAATGATCTATGCCAGCTCCAAGGATGCTATCAAGAAGAAGCTGACAGGTAAGGACCGTTGGTGTGCCTCCTTCTCTGAGTCATGACTGCAGGGTGGGGTAGATGACAGCAGAGGGGATCCCCCATTCTTCCCCATGCTCTGATGGCTGCTTCCTAGACAGAGATGTCCCACCTCGATGCTTCCTGCTCATGATGTGCTCCTTCCTTTCCCACAGGGATCAAGCATGAATTACAAGCTAACTGCTACGAGGAGGTCAAGGACCGCTGCACCCTGGCAGAAAAACTTGGTGGCAGCGCTGTCATCTCCCTGGAGGGCAAGCCTTTGTGAGCTACCTCCAGCCCCCTGCCTGGAGTATCGAGCGGCCCCAGACCTGCTCCTGGGTGTTGCAGGCTGCCCCTACCTGTCAGAGGGCCTAGGGCGATCCTTCACCCCAGTTGCCAAACCTCCTACCCCCGGACCGTCCTCTTCCCTCCATCCCTGGCGGTCTGGCCATCCCAAACTGCTTTTGATCTTTGATTCCATTTGGGTTGAAGCAGACCAAGTTCCTCCCCAGACACCCAGTTTGGGGGGGAGCCTGTATTTTTTTTTTAACGATACCCCCTATTCCCATCTGTCCCTCCCCTTCCCATGCTGCCAACTTCTAACCGCAATAGTGACTCTGTGCTTGTCTGTTTAGTTGTATGTACATGGAATGTTGTGGAAATGACCCTCCCCAAGCCAGCTGGTTGCTCTCCCTTCTTCCTTGGTCTTGCCCAATTGTGGAAGCAAGGCAAGGGACCTTCAATTTAAAAAAAAAAAAAGAGAAAGAAAAAAGATAAAATAAAAAGGCTAATTAACAAGGTGTCTGGATCGCCTGTGCAGTACACCTTTCTGAGCTGGGGTGCTGTAGTTGGTGCCAAAGGACTGAATTAGGTGTGTCAACTTTCTGCCCCAGGGCCTCAGTGAAGCTCTACAGTGAGGACCACTGGATCCCTGTCTAGGGTTGGGCCAAGCACCATTTACTTGTGTGGCTTGTTGGGCTGCTGTCTACTTTGGAGGTTCTGTTGGATCTCTGCCTCTCCTCCCCTGGAAGGCTGACTCATTTATGAGCCAGGTTCAGTAGGATCAGAGGCCAAGTTGAGCTTTTGGCCTTATGTACATGTGGCTGGAGTCCATTCAAGGCCAGCCAGGTGGAGCCCAGGACTTCAGACCCAGGTGTCTGGAGCCCCACCTCCTGAGTAACTTGGCAGAGTCATGGACTCCTCCAGCCTGTATTTGAGACTTACACAGCCCAGGCTGTCACAGGCAGTTTAGAATTGAGATAGTACTGGGTTTACTCCTCAGCTAGTCAGCTGATCTGAAAAGGAAAAGACCCTGTACCTTAAGGCTGTTTTCCCTCCCCCAACTGGAAAGGTGGCTAGTCTGTTTTCCTAGTCAGGAAGCACAGGGATGGAGAGATTGGTGTCCTTGCAGGGACTGGGGATGCAAACCCCACAGTGTCACTGTATGAAAAGGTAAGGGACTGCAGGATTGCCCTTCTGCACCCCAAGTATCTGGCCTCCAATATGTTGCCAGAGGGTGGTATTGGTGGATCTCCTGTAGCCCCCAGCTGGCCTAGAACTCACCATGTAGACCAGGCTGGCCTTGAACTCAATCCCTCTGCCTCCAGAGTGCTAGGATTAAAGGCGAGTGCCACCACGCATGGTGATGGACTACTTTTTAAACGTTCTATATATGTTGCATGTGTGTATGTGTACTGTGCTGCATGCAGTGCCCCCTGAGATCAGAAAAGGGCGTCAGATTCCCCGGAATGGAGTTTTAGGCTGTGGTTAGCCACCAGGTGGATGCTGGGAACCCTGGTCCTCTTCAAGAGCAGCCAGTGCTCTTAATCACTGAGCTCTCTCCCCAGCCCTTGGTATACTATTGAGCTGTGAAAAGTAAAGCAAGCCAGTCCCCCCCTGGATATAAAACCAGGCTCTTTATTTGTGAAACACAGGTTCAAGTAGGGAGCCAATGAACTGTTCTTCAAAGGCCAGAGGTAGGGTGCTGTTGGAGGCTGACAGCCTGCTTGGGGCGGGAAGAGGGGAGGCAGGGTCCCTGGGACTCTGCTTACCTGTGACCAAGCAGGGTTCCCATGTTGCCCTGTCTTGCAAGGCCAGGTACCTTAGGGTCTACTTTTCCCAGGACGATAAGCTTGAGGGTGTGGCTATTGGGTAGGGAAGGGAAGTAACTTGCAGGAGAAGAGAGGGCTGGAGGTGGGGTAGGACAGCTGCACTAAGGTCCCAGGTTGCACTGAGGCTCTCCCTTTAGGGCCACAAGGGTGTTCCGGAGAAGCAGAGTGCTGGCCTGCGGACAAGAGGCCCTTGCAGTTAGTTTCGTGTTCTCTGAGTGCTGGGGCTGTCTGCATTCCTCAGCCTTCAGTTCTCCCTTTCTACCACCCTGAGCAGACTACCACCCAGTGAAGGGAAAAATACTGGCCTGGAAAAGAAATGATTGCCCTGACCTGGGAGGTAGACACAACATAAGGGCGCTAAGGGAGGAGGGAAGGAGCACTTACCTTGGCGTGTTTGAGCTCCAGCTCTGCCAACTCAATGAGGTTCTTACGGAAGGAGGAGACCCGGCGGGACTTGAAGTCCATGAGCTCTGGGGAGAAGGTAAAGGGATGAAGAGAGGCAGGGTAGGCAGCCCATTGTGTGCCAGGCTTCGGGACTCACCCTGCTTGGCAGAGTCAGAGAGCCGCTCAAAGTGCTGGCAGCACAGCTGTTGGTAGCTCTCGGCTGGTTGCACTTCCCGGTTCTTTGTGCGAGCCTTGTCCAGTGCCTTGTTGGCATTCTCATAGTTGGCCAGTGCCCGCAGTCTCCGGTATAGTAGGTCCTAGGGCACAAGATCAGCGTTGCCATGGGCTAAACTGCCCACCCTCCCTCCATCAACCTCCATCCCTGAGGGTGTCCTAGGGCCGCCTCGCACCTTGGCTGCCTGTGAGTCTCGCATGTAGTACCTCAGCATGTCGGACAGCTTCAGGTCCTCATCAGACGCCACCCGGCCCTCCAGCTTCTGTGACATGATGGGGAGGAAGCTTGAGAAAAGGGTAGCTAAGGGGTTGGAGGCCTCTAGGTATCCAGGAGAGACGGCTTGGTAACCACTGTAGGTTGAGTTCTGAGTTTAAGGGAGCAGGCCAGGGAAGGCTTCAAAAAGAAAATGGCCTCTGACCTGGGCCTTGGTGCTTGGGCAGGACTTAACCAGACAGAGGCAAATACTTGGCAGGTATGCAAGCTTAGTGTGTACCTGGGAACCATATGCTCAGTAGAGAAGGGTGGCAGTGGGCAGTTCACAAGAAGCACAAGTGGTAAAAGCTAAGGGCTTTGGGTCCAAGTACATTCTGGAGCCGGTAGGGCCCCTACAGGTCCTTAAGCACACTTCAGAAAGACTGGTACATTCCAGTGACTTCTTTGGAAAAGAGTTCAGGAAGTATGCCATAGCAGGATGTTGGTGGCTCCAAGAAGCACGCAGCCCACCCTCATGCCTTGCTGAGCCCTTCCCATACACACACACACACACACACACACACACACACACACACACACACGAGCTGCATCCTTGGCTCCATGTCTCCATTCTGCCTATTGCAAACCAGTCTAGGGAGGAGCCCAAGGTGCTACCACACCATCTGAAGACCTTGAGTGCAGAAGGCAGTACTTACCCGAAGTCGTTCAAAGAGCTCTGCCAATTTCAGGAAGCTCCTAGATGAAGGACAGAGGTCCAGGGCAGCTTAAGGCCTTCCCTGCCTCAACCCTCCTCAGAATCCTTCCCCATTTTGTTCCCAAACCCCTCAGGAGCTTGTGTACTCTCCTAGAGCTGACAGAGAATGTCTATAGTGTTCATGCCTTGTGGGTACCCACAGTATTACAGACAGGGAGAAGATGAGGCAGGTGAGAGTCCTCACATCTTTAGATGGTTGACTTCCTGGGTTCCAAGACTGCTCAATGCTGCAGAGATGGGGATATAGTCATCTGCCAGACCTGTTGGAGAACAGCTCCTGTCAGAGTCCATCCACATGTCAAGCCCCACCCATGATATGCTCACAGCGGAGCAGAACCCCTGGGGGAGTGGCAGGGGTCCTCGGCCCTCGTACACTTGTGAGAGTGCATGACACGGTCCGCTCTCAGACAGGCATCTCGGATGTGGGTGTGGTATTCTAGTAGGAAGGTCCTCTCGTGCTCAAAGAAGTCATCTACCTCCTAAGAGAACGGGACAGAACCCTTGTTATCCAGTCACCAGAGGTGTGGAAGCACCAGCACCCAGTGTGGCACAGTCTCCTTGAAGCTCAGGCCAGGACCCACCAGTGGTGTCCCTCCCACAGCCAGCCAGCATGGACATCAGCCTTTCAGTGGACTTGAGTCCTAAGAGGGAGCCCAAGGGGGTCATCACCTTGAGCCCTGATATGCCAGTGATGAGGACTTCATCTGCAGACCTCGCGATGTTCTTCAGAAACCCCCCCAGGAGCTCCTTCCTGTTCTTCCCTCGGACACTCAGCTGAGCACACAGGAGAGGGCGAGATGCTAGGGCTGGGCATTTGCACCTCACACCCCAGTCACATGCCAAACGAGCTGACAAGAGGGGTTGAGCACACTTGGGAGCCCTTCTCAGGCCTGATACCCCCACCCAGGTCTCATACCCCTTCCCCCCCAGGGGTGACTCCAGGATTCTGATCCAGCTCACATCCTGACTGTATTCCAAAAAGACAAAGAAGTTGTGGTCTTGACGCAGGGTGGGATGGGCTGCCAGGCGCTGCAGGAAAACTTCATGCATAGCCACAGTCTTTTTGAAGATAGCCAGGTACTCCCTGTGGGAGCATGGGCAACTTGGTATCCCTACGGGGCTCCACTTATGCTGCGCCCCTTCCCTCAGCAGACCTGGGGACAGGGTCAGGGTCTCTGAACATCTGGCATAGTTGGGGAAGAATCTGGAGCTCCAAGAGGGCTGGGGTACTTACGTTTCCAACTCCTGCTTCATCTTGGCAAACTCTTCCCGGGTGATGGAGTTGTCTCCCTCACCCAACTTCTGTAGCTTTTCCCTTGAAGCCTTGAAGTCTGGCCTGGGAGGGGCTGGGGGGATCTGCTCAAAGGAGGGACGGATTGCCAAGGAGCCCATCACAGCCTTCCGTCCTCACCCACGTGCCCGTCCTGCCCCTCATAGCCCAGCCCGGCCCCTCCTCACAATGAGGCCAGCATACTCCTCGTTTTCCAAGTAGGTGTCATGTAGCCAGATGAACTCCTCATGCTGCCGCACCACTGAGAACTCAGGCTGGGCAAAGTGAGGGAGGCGGCTCTGCAAGCCAGGAGACCTGTGTAAGTTCTCCTCTCCCCAGACCCTGCCTTCATCTGACCCACCCAGTACCCGCTTTGGGAGCATCACTATTCCCCCATCCCTGCCGAGACCCCAGATTTCATTCAGGATGGTGGATAGGGATGTAGGGCCTCAGCCAAAGGCAATCAGAGCCCAGTGCCAACGCTTTCTAAAGGGCTGAAAGTGGGCTGACACGGCCTTGAATTCTCCATCAAGTCTCCTACAGGCAGCCATCTGCCGACCTCCCCGCCAACAGGCCACCTTACCTTGGTTTGCACTGTGAACTTCACTTTGCCCCTCTCACTTACTGCGTCAGAGATCTCCACCTGTAAGGGGCTGTCTCTGTGCAGATCCATCGACATGGAGGAAGGCTGTGGGGCAGAGGGGGGACTCACATGGCTGAGCGGAGCTGCTTACCCCTCCCTCTCTGGAGACCCTGCTCAGAGCATTACAGTTAAGAACTATCCAAAGCATTTTCCCATCCTCAGAGGCAGGTAGAAGGCCTTATGTTCTCCTGATGCCAAAGCCCAGGCTACTTCACCAGAGAGGTGAAGTGTCTTCCCTAAGGTCAATGGCAAAGTGACAGGGTCAGAGTGGAGTCCAGGTTTTCTGTTTGTGGTGCTGGGGATCAGGGCTAGACAAGCTCTATCTCTGACCTACATTGTCAACCCCAAACAACCCAGTATTCTTACTCTCTCTCTCCTGCCCTCTCTCCCTCTTCCCTCCTCCTTTTGGCTTTCTTTCCCTCCCTCCCCTCCTCCCTCCTTCCCTCCTCCCTTCCTTTGACAGGATCCCAGTTTGTGGCCCTGGCTGGCCTGGAACTTGCTCACCCTTCCAAGTGCTAAGTTTACAGACCTGGTGTTATTATTTATTTCTTTATTTTTATTTATTTTATTTATTTATTCATTTTTGAGACAGGGTCTCACTCAGTAGCCCTGGCTGTCCTGTAACTCAACATGGAGACCAGACTGGCCTCAATCCACCAGCCTCTGATTAAAGACTTGCATCACCAGGCCTGGCCTTTGTTTGTGTGTTTTTTAGATTTATTTTAAATTGTGTAGATATGTATATATCTGTGTGGGTGTCATGGTTGGCTTCAGTTTTCAACTTGATACACTTGAGAACATGGAATTTGAGTTGGGGAACTGTCTCTATCCAACTGGCCTGTGGGCATATCTGTGAGGCATTTCCTTGATTGTTGAGCGATTTGGCTAGGCCACCCCCAGGTTATATAAAAAAGCAGGCTGAGCACAGGCCAGAGGAGCAAGCCAGTAAGCAGTGTTCCTCAATGCTCTGGGCCTCAGTTCTTGCCTCCAGGTTCCTGCCCAAGTTCCCTCAAAGATAGACTATGCCTTGGATATAAAAGATGCAATAAACCCTTTCCTCTTCAAGTTGGTTTTTGTCAGAGTTTTATCACAACAATAAAGAAGCAAACTAGAACAATAGATATGTGGACAAGATCAGGTGCCCTCGAAAGCCAGAGGCATCACATTCCTCAGGAGCTGGAGTTGTAGGCAATTGTGAGTTGCCCAGTGTGGTTGCTGGGAATTGAACTCAATGTCTCTGGAGAGCAGTATGTGCTCCTAATTCCTGAACCATCTCTCCAGCCCTATCTTTGTTTTTTTGAGACAAGGTTTGACTGTGTAGGCCTGGAACTCAGAGATTCACCTGCCTCTACCTTCTGAGTGATGGGACTAAAGATGTGTGGCCACTATGCCCAATTCTATCTATCCATCCACCTACCTATCATCTATCTATCTATCCATTATCTATCTATCTATCTATCTATCATCTATCTATCCATCCACCTACCTATCATCTATCTATCTATCTATCCATCTATCTATCATTTATCATCTATATGTCATCTATTTAACGTGCATGAGTGTTTTGCCTGCATGTAAGTGCCTGTGGAGGCTTGAAGAGGGCATCAGATCCCCTGGAACTGAAGTTACAGATGGTTGTTAGCTGCCACACGGGTATTGCTATCATCTATCTATCCATCCACCTACCTATCATCTATCTATCTATCTATCCATCTATCTATCATTTATCATCTATATGTCATCTATTTAACGTGCATGAGTGTTTTGCCTGCATGTAAGTGCCTGTGGAGGCTTGAAGAGGGCATCAGATCCCCTGGAACTGAAGTTACAGATGGTTGTTAGCTGCCACACGGGTATTGGGAACTGAACCTGAGTCCTCTGGGAGAGCAGTAACTGCTCTTAACTGCTGAGTCATCTCTCCATTCATTGAACTTTAAAAAAAAAAAAGTGTCTATGAATGTGTCTGCATGAGGGTATTACATGTGTATGATGGTACTCTTGGAGGCCAGAGGCATCAGATCCCCTGGAGCTGGAGTTATGGGTGGTTATGAGGTGCCCTATGTAGATGCTAGGAACCAAATTTGGGTCTTCTGCTTTTAACTACTAAGCCATCTCTCCAGCCCCAACCTTGAATTCTTTTTGAATCAGTGTCTTTCTGTATAACCCTGGCTGGCTTGGGACTCAATATGTAGCTCAGGCTAGCCTGGAACTTGTTTCCTGAGTGGTGGGATTACAGGCATATATCCTCAGGTTCAGCTTGAACCCTCTTTTTCTTTACTTTCCTTTTTTAAAGACAGGGTCTCAGTCTATAACCCTGGCTGTCTTGGAACTCACTATGTATACTGGCCTGGAACTTGCAGTGGACCCTCCTGCCTCAGCCTGAAGTTCTGGGATTACAGGCATGAGCCACCATGCAGTTTGAACCCAGGGTATGGTCCCCAGGTCTTTGTCCATCCTGTTCTATCTAGAACCCCTTCACCAGGGCTTACAGTGAGTTGGATGAGCGCTCTCTCTCTCTCTCTGTCTTTCTGAGACAGGGTCTCCCAACTGGCCTCGAGCTCAGGCTGGCCTTGGACTCACAGAGATCTCTGCCTGCCTCTGCCTCCCCAGTGCTGGGATTGAAGGCTAGGTGTGCACTACCATGCCTGGCCTATCCATCTCTCTCTTCAAAATATTATTTATAGCCAGGCATGGTGGCGCACGCCTTTAATCCCAGCACTTGGGAGGTAGAGGCAGGCGGATCTCTGAGTTCAAGGCCAGCCTGGTCTACATAGTGAGTTCCAGGACAGCTGGGGCTACAGGGAGACCCTGTCTCAAAAAGAGCCCCCCAAATTATTTATGTGTATTTTTTGTTTATGAGTGTTTTGCCTGCATGTATGTAAGTGCACCATGTATGTGCAGTGCCAGTGGAGGCCAGAAGAGGAGGCCAGATCCCTTGGAACTGGAGTTACAGACAAGTTACAGACAGTTGAGAGCCACCACATGTTGCTAGAAACTAAACTTGGGTTCTCTGCAACTGCAACCAGTGCTCTTAACCACTGAGTCAGCTCTCTAGCCCCATATACTTATTTATTTATAGACAGGGTCTCAGTACATAGCCCTGGCTGGCCTGAAACTCATGTAAACCAGGCTGGCCTCAAACTCAGAGATTCATTCACCTGCCTCTGCCTCCTGATGCTGGGGTTAAAGTTGTGTACCACCACACCTGGCCTGTTTCTGTCTCTTTTAAGGGGGTTGCCAAAACCATTGCATTCCTTGCTTTTGATGCCAAGTGGCAAGAGGCTATGGACCAAACACCCACATTTCTCTAAGGGAAAAAAATCAGCAAGGGGCCCGTTCATTCTCCCATTGAGCTATTCAATATATACTCATTTACTCTTCTGTTTTTTTCTTTGAAAATTTTATTTATTTATATATTTATTTAGTTTTGTTTTTGAGACAGTCTCCCTGTAGCACCAGCTGGCCTGGAACTCACAGACATCGCCTGCCTCTACCTCCCAAGTGCTGGGACTAAAGGCATGCACCA